AAATTACATACAAAGGACTTTCAAGGATTCCTCACTTACTTTGTTCTTGTCCCTGTTGGCCAAAATAACAAAGTCTTCAGAGATCTGATGTTGGAAACTATTATTTTCTATTTCATTTAGCTTTAAAACTCTGAAAAAGTAAAAAGAATTCTAAGAACCCAAGACTTAAATGCACATTTGCTCAACTAAGCAAAGGAAAATTATAGGGATAGTAACAAAGTTCTTTTTTTCCTGATTAACTTATAATATTACTGTGTTTGATCATTTAAATGTCCATTAAAATTCTTCAAATTTAGGGAGAAGGGCAGGGAGGAAACTGTGCAATAGTGAATGAATGGAAATCCAAGTTCTTTATAAACTTAAAATAAAATCTCAATTAAAAACCCCTACATTAGCTAATGAGAACTAAGATTAGAAAAAAAAAAGCCCTCAAATTTAGATCTTTTTAAGAGAGAAAAATGAAGAAATTGTGACATTAAGGACTATTAATGAGGTAATGAAGCTGCTTGCTTAGGTCCAGGTCACTGTTCAAACTAGCAGAACCAAAGTTACTCTCAAGAATCTTATCTCTACAACTCTGCAACAGGTTTCAGCTTTAATAATGTCAAGATCGTAGACAACTGCATTTTTAAAATTTTTTTCTTTTTCCAATCTTTTTTTAAAAATTATACAAAATCAGAATACATTATTTGACAACTGCATTTTTATTCCGAAACTAAAATAGCAATATCAAGAACACATTTAAGGTTCAGTATAAGATAGACGGGATTAACAAGTAAACCTAAAGAATTTTCATCAAACAGTAAAATGTAAACTACATCTGATTTAACTTTTCCCCTTTAGGATTATATTTAAAAATCTGGATTTTTTTGAGTGTGCATAGCCTCACAGGATCAAGCTTACAAAGCAAGAGAATATAAAAACTTGTTCACCACCTACACAAATCTGTTCCCATCAGTAACAAGCTTCAAAAGTACAATGTTCTCAAAGCTCAAAGTCTCAAACGCAGGCAAAGTCTCAAAAAGTAGATAGGCAGGGTGTGGCGAAGCAGCTCCGGTGGTCACAAAGAGCCAGAGGCTTTTATTTTTATTTCATAATGGTTTCCTTACAAAGTCTGTATGTATTGTTTTTCACATCAGATCTTTCCCATTTTCTTTAATCACCTCCCTCATTTTTTAAAAACTCTGTATTGTGATTTGAGTGAATGTTTATTAAGCAGATTGGTATTCAGTATTTGTTTCGTATGTATTTTGTTTCATGATTCTGGTTATTATTCCCACATTGTGTCATTACTATTCCCAGGTGGTTCTTCTTTCCATTAATCCTTCCATTTTCTCGAAACCTTTCCACCTTCTAAGCTTTACTCCAGGGAAAACAGTTGCCTTGTGGCTGTTCTAAGGATTGATGACCTCTGTGAAGTTAATGTTCACCATTATGTAGTTGTAGGTTAACTCACATGGGTGAGTTCAGTTCCAGGCTCAAAGGTGGAGTTAAGGGCCATCATGTTGGGAGTCCCATCAGTCTCCATCAGACCACTCCAACTGGCCATTATTTGGATACTGAGTTTTGTTCTAGATTTTTCCCTCACTTTTATCTAAGACCCACTATTGTGATCCTTATTAGAATGCTCAGAGGTAGTAGCCAGGCACCATCTAGTTCTGGTCTTAGAAGAATTATCTATGTTGACGTCTGTGAGGTCTGTTAGTGCTATGAACTAATTGTTTTCAAGCATTTTTACTTTCCCTTGCTCCAGAAAGACCAGTGACTATAGTCGCTCATAAGCTTTTTGCTCACAATCTTTTAAGTTCCCAGTTCACTACTCATCAATGTTTAGAACATTGTCTTTGGGGTCTATGCTATGACAACAGACCCTAAAATTCTCTGAGACAAAAACAGACATGGCCAAGTGAACAATGAATCTACTCTTTGTGGATCTTATTTTCTTCAATTCTACACCAAAGCTCACTGCTGTGAGTTGTTCCTACGTGCAGCAACTCTATGTGACAAAGCAGAACTGTCCTGTAAGGTTTCAAAGGCTGCAAATCTTTACAGTAGTACACTCCTTTGTCTTTCTCTTGCAGTGGGGTTTGTGGGTTCAAACTCCCAACCGCTTGATTAGTAGGAAAATGCTTACCCAACATGCCACCAAGCTTCTTTCTTAAACTCAAGCTAATATTTAAAGACTGATGGTAATAAACATTAAAATGTTTATTAAACTGTAAGATTATTTTTTCTGGAAAGGGTATAACTTTATTTCATTATATCCTTTCACTCTTCTTTTAATAGTTACCAGAGAAAGACTAACCATCTAGAAGCATGAGAATATAAAGAAGGCAGAGACTATCTTTCTTATTCCACAAATACTCACTGAGCACCCACTGTGGGCCAAGGCCTGTGCTCACCCAGTGAAAAATGTCAGCAATTCAGACTCTTTCACTGTCATTATGATATTTATGATGTAGAACTAGTTATTTAACAGACACGTACATAGTAAATTAATTAAAACTGTGATGCACGTACTAAGGAGTATGCCGACTGATGCAATACAAATGGGACAGAGGACTTAAGTCTAATAAGGGAAAGCCAATGTGGAAAAAAAAAGACATTTAAACTATAATATAAAACATGAACAGAAATAAGACAGGGGACAAGGGAACAAGTGGGGAAGACAGAGCCCAAAGAGAAGGAACAGGCCTCAGCTTAATGAAAAGACAGCATGACTGGAGTAAACTGAGTGGGAAGAGGAGGATCTTTCAGACCAAATGTTAAATATGGTCTTATCTTAGGAGAAACAAGAACCGATGAAAAGTAGAATTCGCTTGATTAGGTTTTCATATTTGTTTATATTTTTCCTATTACTCTCACTGCTGAAAGGAAAATAGACTTAGAAAGGGCATAAGTAGATTCTAGGAACCCTGTACACAAGACATTAGACATTGACTCAAGAGGAGCAGTGATAGTAATCTGATCTCGCTGGGGACAGTGGATAAGGGCAAAAATAGGGTGATTTAAGATACAGCAGCAAAATAAACTAGACTGTCAGGACTAACAGTGTGTATGTATATGTAAGAGAAAGAGAATATACGTGAGCATAAAGGTCCATATACACTGATGAAAAACAGGCATGTAAGAATGTGCCAAGAATGATCTCAGATTTTTGGCATAAATTTAAACAGAGATGTGGATTATATATAGAGATTGTGGTGTTTTGATGTACAGATGATCTGACAAGCCAAGGGAATAAATAGAAGAATCAGAAAGTGCCTACAAGAAAAAAAAAGAAAAGAGTGTCTGCATTGAATGAATTACTTAAAATTAAGGGTGGGCTGGAGGAAAGGGAGCATGAACAGATAGTAAGAAAGACTGAAGAGTTAGGGAGGAAAAATTTAGAAGAGCTGTGGTCTTAAAGAAACCAAACTAAATGAAACATGTTGTTGCTGTTATTGTTGTTATGTGCCGTCGAGTCGCTTGCGACTCATAGTGACCCTATGTACAACAGCCCTAAACTCTGCTCTGTACTCTGCCAATCACACTGTCTCTGACACTCCCATCCCGATT